ACATGCCAGTACCCCATAATTCACAAGCCAGAGTTATTAAAGAAAATAAACCCAGTTCCTTTTTGATTTGTGTACAATACACTAATTTTCTTCTCTGACAGAAACAATTTTGTAGGCGTTCGGAATGAGATCATAGCAGATTTCTCTAAAATATTTTTTCTTTTACTCCCATTATAAGTTGGTTAAATGCTCACACAGCAAATGTATAAGCTGGGCAAGATTTTCTTTGACACGGTTGGTTGTTTTTTTTAAATGTCTTTCATACCGTTGCAGTACGATGGATTTTGAGGTTTGGGAACAAACCAACATGCTTGTGAGTCTCACTAGTTTCTTTGTGTAAATATCCCAGGATGTGTGGGGAGCCAGGCAAAAGTCTTGAAGATAAAGACAGATGTAAATAGTGCATTATAATGTATTTAGTTGATGGAATTCAAACCCCAGAAGATAGAGAGGACATATGTTACTGGGGAGGAAGGTTATCAAATATTTAGAGCCAGAGCACAGATAATTTAAGTCTTAAATTTTAAGGGAGCAGGGATTTTCCTGGCTTCTTCACAACCAAGAAACCCACAAGGAGTAGATCTGAAAGCTATAAAAAGAGACATGAAGGCAGGAGGAAGATATGCCTTTTAACTCCAACAAAGCACATTGAAGTAAGAGTGCCCTATGTAGACTTTGTCCATCATGTCATAATGTCATGGCCTGTTCCTATTAGGCATTGATCGCCTCTTGTGAAATGTTCAGCACCATCAAATCCCAATGACTTCGATAGGCGCTAAGTGGGCTGGGAAGCTCACAGGAGTGGATTCTGTTACAGAACTACAGGATGATATCCTACACTGCATAATGCTCCAATTCTGTAAGCAATCATGCACATGAACAGTCCCATTGAATTAGAACTACTCATGTGCATAAGTGCTTGCAAGATTGGGACCTATCATTGTAAAAGCCTAAATAACTTTGGTGCTCTAAATTGTATGTGAATTTCAGGACAGGTGGCAGTCCTCTGAGGGGTCATATTCTGGAAGGACAATTGTAAATATTTTCACTAGAACATAGAAACTGACTAACCATCCTTCGATTTGTGCTGTTTGGGAAATGATAACAAATTAGCACAGTAACTGATTACATGGATGGTAAGGGCTGAGATCCCCTGAAAATGGAAGATTTTCCAGAGCACACAAAAATTACTGTTCTTTTTTTGTTATTATTTGTATGACTGTAGTGTGACGTTCTTTACCTTGTGGGAACACCTTATACTCCCATGTTCATCCTTATAATATGATTGTGTGGTATCTAATGCAAAGTTTGTCATGTCGGGTGTCTTCAGAAGGCACATGATGTATACTCAGCATTGTTGTTATGGTAATGTTATAGTAATCGTTGTTATAGTAATGTTATAGGTTGTAATTTCATGTATATAATTATGAGGCTGAAAATGTGTCCTCATGGCTTAAAGCAAGCCCAGGCAAAAACTCCCCAAGAGCAGAGGGACAGTTCACACCTCATCAGGGCATGGATGGGACAAACCCAGCCCAGTATCACAGGAATAAAGGACACTGGCCTAGGCAACAACAAAGGATCTGTTGGACTCTTGAGTGAGTCACCCTCCCTTCCTTTGGTCAGTTTGGGACTGCGATGAGGTAATGCTCACCTGACTCTGAAGTGGGGGAGGGCAAAGTCAAGAGGGAAGAAAGAACATGATAAAAGGGAGAGACATTTGCCATTCTCTTCCACCTCCATCTACAGACATCACCACCAAGCGCTGATCAAAGGGGAGAGCCCGGCTGAAGGGCAACCAATCAGCCTGTGGTGAGAAGCATCTCAGTTTGTAAGGGCATTGAAAGTGTTAAGATCAGCTTAGAATGCATTTTGCTTTTATTTCATTTGACCAAATCCGACTTGTTATGCTTTGATTTATAATCACTTAAAATCTATCTTTCATAGTTAATAAAATTGTTTGTTTTTTCTACCTGAAGCAGTGTGTTTGGTTTGAAGTGTGTCAGAGACTCCCCTTGGGATAACAAGCCTGATACATATCAATTTCTTTGTTAAATTGACGAACTCATATAAGCTTGCAGTGTCCAGCGGGCATAATTGGACACTGCAAGACGGAGGTTCCTAGGGTTGTGTCTGGGACTGGAGATATTGGCTAGTGTCATTCGGTTGCACAATCCAAGGAGCAGCTTACATGCCAGAGGCTGTGTGTGAACAGCCCAGGAGTGGGGGTTCTCACAGCACAGCAGGGTAAGGCTGGCTCCCAGATTCAAGGATTGGAGTGACCTAGCATATCACTGGTCTGGATAATATCAGGGGAACAGCACATGTAGTGTCTAGCAGCCCGAGCCACGGACCAGGCTAGGCGCTGTACGAACCCACAACAAAAAAACCCAAACAGTTCCTGCCCCAAAGAGCTTATAAATCTAAGTACAATGCTGTTTTCCCCAGCTGCGTTACAGTACTAATTACTTCTGGTGGAAACAGACTGTTCTATTTACCATGTCCCCCTATTTGGGTTTCCCTTCTTTCCCAAATCCCATCCTTGTTCTTTTTCTTCAAAATTGTTTCTGAAACCTCTCCAACTTAAATGTGGCTGCTTTCCCCCACCCTTTTCGCTCCTCCCCAACCCATACTTCTACTTCAGCTCCCACAGTCACTTCTTTTATCTAGAGACGTGTCCCTCTGCACTGGGGAACAAATCAGCCCCTTCCTTCTGTACGTGCTCGCTGCCTCTGTCCCTCTCCCTTTCCCCAATCCCCCACGCCACCGGCGAGGCGTCCTGCCTCCAGCCCCCATCTCCCCATGAGCCTCTCCGCACCAGCTCGGCCCCTCTTCCCCTGTCAGCCCCGACACGCTCCCTCCCGTCTCTTCCCCCAGAGCCGCCAGCCCCGCCTCCCCTCACCCCTCGGGCCCGGCGCTCCCAGCCGGCTGCCAGCAGCGCCGCGCAGAGCGGGGTCTGGCCGCACGAGGCGCCCTGCAGCCCGCCGGGCTCAGAGACTCCCGAGTCCCGTCCCCGCTGCCCTGTCCGGGGAGGGCTGGAGGCGGCCCACGTGCCTCCTTCCTTCCTTCCTTCCTCCTCTGAGTCCTGTCCCGCCCCTTGCAGCGCAGCGGGCTGCGGCTGCCTGAGACCCTGGCCTGGGGGCACAGAGTCCCCGAGGCTGTGGCTGGCTCCTCCCTGCCGAGGGGTGTTATTCATGCCACCCCGAGGAGCTGCTGCTGTCCTGTGGGCCCGCCCTAGACAGCGGGGCAGCCCGTCATTGCTCCCCTGGGTGGAAGTGGGGCTTGAAGCCAGCCTAGTTGTTAGGGTCTGGTGGGGAGAGCCCGTGCAAGCCCCTGACCTGTGTGGGGAGCCCCACTGCCAGCCACTCCACGGGTGCACAGACACCATAGGGATGACCCTGGTATAAACTGCTAGAGGGACAGAACCAGTGACACGTGCCTGGCTCCTGGGTGACTCCAGCTGCCAAACCCATGGAGAAGGGAGAGCAGCAGTGAGGGCAGCATCCCAGCCTAGCCCCCAACGATGGGGACAGCTTCCTCTCTGGTGAGCCCAGCGGGCACCGGAGGGGAAGTGATCGAGGACGCCTACGGAGGAGGTGGCGGCGAAGCCTGTGAGATCCCAGTGGAGGTGAAGCCCAAAGCTCGCCTGCTGCGCAGCTCTTTCCGCCGGGTGGGTGCTTCACGGCCTGGAGGCCTCATTGGGGCTAGTTTCAAATCCACTGCCTCGGTACAGGAGTTGGAGTGCATGGCTGAGTATGAGCGTCTGAAGAAAGAATACGAGATCTTTCGTGTCAGCAAGAACAACGAGGTGGCCTCTATGGTCAAGAAAGAAGCCAAGCTGGACCTGGAGAACAAGAGACTCCGCGCAGAGCTCCAGGTAACTAGCAACTGTACTGAACCTCACCATGGTTGATAGGGAAAGGGGTGGGAGGGAAGATCTCATCTCCTGAGACAAATAATAATACTTAGCTCCTGTATAGCACTTTTCGTCCTTACATCTCAAAGCACTTGATAAGTTGAGTATCTCCATTTTACAGATGGGAAAACAGAGGCATAGTGAAGACAAGAGATTTGTCTAAAGTTATTCAGGAAATAAGTGTCAAAGCTGGGAACAGAACCCAGAACTCTTTCCAGTACACCATGCGCCTTCTGAAGTGGGGACTAGACCCCTCAGCTATGGCGTTAACACTGACCTCTTTCCTCCCAACTAGTCTTTGGGTGGAGAGAAGTCCAGTGCTCTTTATCTCCTCCCCTTCCCAGCAGCTTCTTCCCATCTCCCAGTATTCTCCCGCCTACTCTGTGTGGAGCTGCTGAGTAGCACCCTTATAAAATTCCAGTTTTTAAATGTAGCCTGATAGAAACAACATTCACAACTGCAGGCTAAATATTTCAGATCAAGATGGCATTTTTTACATGAACAAATCAGCAACTAAAAAAAGAAATGGACAGTTAAAAATGTGTTCAATTTCTTTACCTGTGTTAATCTAGACGTCTTTAATAAAAACTTAGATTGGTATAATAAAATAAAACATCTAGTTTACTTTTCACCATTTAGACAGTTAGTTTATTATTTGCAATACTTCCAGCTTGAACTGGTCAGTTTCACTTTTCTTTCCAGGTTTCTTCAGCGCCCCACTGAAGTAAAAATGAAGTCGGTGGGGCTGCATTAGAACATCAGGGTCTGCTTGCATTATATGTATTTTATGACTTTAAAAACAAACTTTGTATTTGTGGATAATCTAAACCAGCGTTTCTCAAATGTGGCCACCAGGAACTTTTCTTGGGCCACAACCTCCTGGGTGATGATGGAGGGGCAGGGGGAGTAACCCTTCCCCAGGGCCGCCAGCAGGAGCTGGTCTCTGTCCCCTTCTGGAGCTATAAACACTGTAGGAGCAGGCGGCCAGTGTGAATTCCCCACCTTCCTGGGGACGGTGGGGATCGGGTTTCAGGATTAAGCCCTGGGGTGGTGGGCGACAGGCTCTGGCCGTGCGGCAGCAAGCTCCATCCCCCAGCCGCAGGGCTCCAGGTTCTGGGCTCACCCTCTGCACATCGCCCCTGGCCCTTGCTGCCTCCTCCAGTCCCCATCTGTGCACCAGGGCCCCAGGCTCTCGCTCTAGGCTCACCTCCCCCATCTCCCCTGATTCCTGCTGCCTCCCATCTATCCCCCTATCACCTCTTGGACCCCTACCCACCTCCCCATCCAGGGCTTAATTTGTCCCCCAGCTTGCTGGGGCTGAGTAAGTCTGCTGTAAAAAGTGATATTAACAATATCACCTTTCACAGCCTCCCAGCTAGCTAGCAAGTCTGCTGTGAAAAGTGATATTAACAAATATACAAAATGTCACTTTTCACAGCAGACTTACTAGCTAGCACAGGGGTCCCCAACGTGGTGCCCGCGGGCGCCATGGCGCCCCTTGGGGCGTCTAAGTGCGCCCACGTACTGGCCGGCGGACGAGCATCTGCCAAAATTCCGCTGACAAATGGCAACGTCAATAGGCGTCGCCGCCACAATGGCGCTGAAAATCGGCGGCATTTCGGCGGTGACAGCTATTGACGTTGCCGCTTGTCGGCGGCATTTCGGCGGATGCTCGTCCACCACCACGGTCCTTCATCGCGCCAGACGAAAAAGGTTGGGGACCACTGAGCTAGCAAGTCTAAAAAAAGACAACCAAAAAAAAGCAAAACATGCAAAGCACCTTATTTGTGTTTTTATTCTGTTTAGGTGCAGTAATGAATAGACAACTGTACATTATTTTTAATTATTGAGTCTGAAAAAAACCCCTACATAAATAAATTACAATGATTTGGACGTGTATATGTGCATATTTATTTATTTTTCCTAAAGTTAATTAAGTATTTTAGGAAGAATTGTCGGAGCAGCCACTAGCAAGAGTTGATGGCGCACTCCGAGGCCACCCAAAAATTTGTTACGAGAACCCCTGAATCTAAGCACTATACCCAGATGTACAGACACTCTCTAGTAAATAATTTTAACATTAGCTTTAATAAAAATGTAAATATTTTGTTTCTCATTCATGATAGGATTGCACTGCTGCACTGATTTGTGTTCCAACACTGCAATGCAATGTTTAAATCTAAACAAACAAAAAAACAAACAAAAACGTCTTCATTGAATTAAGAATTGCAAAAGGGCTATTGGAGCAACACTTGAATTTTCTATCTAAACTCAGTAGCTGAAAAATATGCTAAAACTTTATAGCAATAATATTTTTCTCTCAGAGAAATAATATGTTAAATATTTTCAGGCTCTTCAGAAAACTTATCAGAAAATACTTAGAGAGAAAGAAAGTGCTTTAGAAGCCAAATATCAAGCCATGGAGAGAGCTGCTACATTTGAACATGACCGAGACAAAGTCAAGAGACAGTTCAAGGTAAGCATCTTCACTTTATCCCCCAGGAAATTGACCAAGAAAATCTAAAGTAATCCCTTTGGCCCTGATCCTTCAGTGAACTCTCTGTGGGTAGGTTCTATGTAGATGCAGATGTCTGTCAATATGAAACTCATTGCAGGACCAGGGCCTTAATCCACTATTTACTCCAAATCAATCATACCAAAATTTACCTGTAGAAATGCTTCTTAATAACATTTAGTCTTAGGCCTGGTCTACACTAACCCCCCAATTCGAACTAAGGTACACAACTTCAGCTACGTGAATAACGTAGCTGAAGTCGACGTACCTTAGTTCGAACTTACCGCGGTCCAGACACGGCAGGCAGGCTCCCCCGTCAACTCCGCGTACTCCTCGCATCGAGCAGGATTACCGGAGTCGACGGGGAGCACTTCTGGGTTCGATTTATCGTGTCCAGACAAGATGCAATAAATTGAACCCAGAAGTTCGATTGCCTGCCGCCGAACCAGCGCGTAAGTATAGACAACAAGCCCTTAGTGGAAAATAATGCTTTTGAAAATGGAAAGGAGAAAATGTTATCATTGCTCAACAGCCTAGCACCTTCTGTGCCATTTCATCAGCTCTTGCCAATTTCACACCTAGAAGGGGCAAGGAACATGCACATCAGAAGTTATGTTACATAGTATTTTAAAGAAAAATAAATTGTAGGCTCAAACACTGATTTTGGATATTTCTCAGTAATGTTTATATTTAATTTGTTAATGTTCAACATTTTTAGTTTTCATTACAAAAATAACCCCTGTGCCAACTATTGGCACATCTCTTTGTGCTACTAAAATACAAGAGCCAAGTGAAGATAAAAGCCTTAATATTTTTGCCTTAGGGTGATTTGAAAGGCTTATTAATTGACAGGCTGATGCTTCTGGTTTTCCCCTCCTGCAGCTGATCCCACTCCTAGCACCCAAAATTAGACAGTAAAAGCATTTCTCTGCGCTATTTTAGGGCTTACCGATGTCATCAACTGTAGCAGAGGAAATGTTTTGGTAGATAAGTAAGGCAAGAATTGCTTTCAAATAACTTTGTTTTAAATTGTATTTGTAATTAAGTCTACCGATCTCTTTTATACTCTTGGGATCTTAAGTACTTAGTTCTGATCAAAGACCAAGCTCGCTAATCAGTTTTAGCTTGTGATAGTAATATTGTTCCAGATATCTGGTCTCTGTATTTTAAACTACTTAAATTAAAGATGTATAGCTGTCAGTACAACATTCCATATAATAATATAATATAATATAATATAATATGGAAATCTTTGAGAACAAATTATAGTTTTGTTGCTGAAAAAAGCTGGCTTTTATTAAAACTAAGTTAAAAACCATGCATATTACTTATGAGCTTATTTTAGTACCATTCATCCCAAACATTCAAAAATCATGAGTCAGTAACCCCAAAATCATGGCATTGATTTAAAAATCACGATTTAAAAATAATAAACGTTGGATTCCTTTATTCGCCTTCTGGTTTAGAGAGAATGGGTTGCACTTGGGATGTTGTGAAGGCCAAGACTACAACAGGGTTCAAAAAAGAACTAGATCAATTCCTGGAGGATAGAGCTATCAATAGTTATTAGCTAGGATGGGCAGGGATGGTATCCCTATCCTCAGTTTGCCAGAAGCTAGGAATGAGTGACAGGGGATGGATCACTTAATGATTACCTGTTCTGTTCATTCCCTCTGAAGCACCTGACATTGGCCACTGTTGGCAGACAGGATACTGCGCTAGATGGACCTTTGGTCTGACCCAGTATAGCTGTTCTTATGTTCACTTGGGTCACATTTTCAAGTCTTTCTCTACCATAACGAGGGCTCAAATCTCACTTTTTTTTTTAATGACAGCTGATCACATGAATTCAGGAGCTGGGGCTATAGATCAAACATAAAATTTCACAAGATTTGTGATAAAATAGTAAGAGTTGGCTTTATACTTTTTAAAAAAATCCTTTCCTTTTTCTAGATTTTCAGGGAAACTAAGGAAAATGAGATTCAGGATTTACTGAGGGCCAAACGAGAGCTAGAGACAAAACTTCAGAGACTGCAAGCCCAAGGGATCCAAGTATTTGATCCTGAAGAGTCTGATTCAGATGACAATTGCACAGAAGTTACTGGTAAGAATTCCATTTGCTACTTTCAGCAAGCGAATAAAAAAAGATTAAATTCTGTGTAGTATAGCAAAAGAAAAATATATATGCACTATAGATTGTGAGGTTTTTAAAATGCAAGTTTTAAAAGCACAAGGAAATATTGTGTGAAGGATAAAAACAGTTTACCATTTAAATTGTGTTTTTTGAAGTCTGTGCGTGGCCCAAAACTAATTAGCCATTTCTGGTGATTCCATTTATTTTTATAGTGCCCCATATTCTAAAAGACACCTTGACTTTCTACCTTCCCTGAACCTTTCTGCTTCTCTTGTATTTTCATTGTGAGTTTCCTGCTATCTGATCTCCTTTTCACAAGTCTAGAGGTTATGTTCCAGTTTGGCATATCAGCCCCATATAACCCATCAGAACAGAAAATGAACAAAATTAATTGGAAACTTAGGCAGAATATCAAATTGGAATTTGACAAGGGGACCAGTTTTGAACAGCCGTAGTCTTTAACAACACTGGATATTTAGCGGTTGTAGGCATTCAGTCTCCTGGTTTTACATCTGATCCAAAACATGGCATCTGCATCAGGACAGTGCCCATTAGTGCCATGCCAGGGTATTGGTTAGATACAGACTAGGGATCATCAGCATCACTTCCTACAACACTTGGGTTTTCCCTTGAGGTCCAGTGCTGTTACATCTGACCCTGCTTTGCTAACAAGATGTGACACAAATCACAGCTGACGTGGCTGAATAACCTTCAGAACTAGAAATGTTTCATGTGATATATATGGCTCTGATTCTGCAGAGCACTTATGCACTCCACGTGCTAAATTCTAGTGACATCATTGATTTTAATGGGCCTATGATTCCTACCTCTTCCCCGTGTATATTTTCTCCTTTCTTCTTTTATATTCCTTCTTATTTGTGTTTTATACTTCCTCATCCCTCTTTTTAAAAAATCTTTCTTAACTTATTCTCATTTTTTTCTTCAAAGATTTGAATTTAGTGGTCTTGAAAGTGATAGATTAGTAGGAAATGGTGTAATCCAAGGATAATATGAGAAGTTAACTATAAAGCTTTTCCACCCAACTAAGAAATGTATTTCACTCCTGACCTGCAACACTTTTCTGCTGTTTAGTTCTGGGTCTTTCTTAAATAGAGACTGTCAACAGTGTGGTGACTTTGTGCACTTCACAAATGACTGCAGTAAACCTATGAAACTCTTCCTTATAGGTGACCTAATATAATATATGAAACCAACGATGAGGTCCTCAGTTTTGAGACCCCCATGTACTAACACGCTCTGTTACCTATTTCTTTAATAGCATGGCTTCTCTGTAACTGTGAGGGAGTTCTGATTTAAAACTACATTAGCCAAAGCAGTGAGCGAACCTGCTAAGGGAGAAGAATTTCAATTAGTGGCATTTGTCAACAAATTTTAACTGAAGAGTTTAGGTTTGACAATATTTTTCAATGCGTGAAAATCAGTTTGTATTTACTTTTAAGCTACTGGAGCCCAATCTGAATATTGGACTGGTGGAGTGTTGGGAAGTGAGCCATCTATGGGTAGTATGATGCAACTTCAGCAGTCTTTCAGAGGGCCTGAGTTTGCTCATAGTTCCATAGATGTGGAAGGACCATTTGCGAACATAAACAGAGGTAAGCAACTGGTGTTTGTCTGCTAAGCGGGTTTAACAAGGGGCTGTTGACATACAAGTACTGTTTACCATGGAGGTCTTTTGCATCCATTCAGTCTGTCACTCCATATTTTCCTTTGAATGACTGCTTTTTGTAAAAATAAAGTGGAAGTATAGCTAAAACACACCTAATTGTGTTTAATATTTTTGCTGCTAACAATATGTGCAGCAGTATTCTTAGATAATGACAGTGAATCTCAATGCTTCATAATAAATATACCAAATACCAATTTATTGTATGGGGGCTCAAAAAAAGGCTTTAGATGACCCAGCTTTGAATAACATAACTAAGAAAAAAATATTTAAAATGTGATTTATTTTAGCCTGATAGAGTCCCGGTATCTTGTCCAATTTTCGTCTTGTTTTTCAAATTCTCAGATCCTTCGCCACATAGGACACGTGCATGATGTCACAAACTATGGCCCCTCTCCTTCAGCTGGATTTGCATAGGAAGACCCTTCCAGGCGGAGTCCCATTGACTTAAATGGAACTCTGCATGACTTTGAGGGTTCATCCACACAGATCCAATCGCATGATCAAGACCTATGCATGCTGAATTATATTTGACCTATGGGAAAGATTATCACTGATTTCCCTATCAATTCCAGTATTTTGTAGTTAGTAACAACACTGTCTAACTTGGCTTGACTCACTACCTTAATCTCAATACTAGCCTGTGACACAGACTCAGTTCAAATTAGTTACTCAGACAAGTAATTTATCATCCTTAACTTTGAGTTTCTCTGCATCTGTCACTTTGTGATATCACTTTACTACTAGTGAAAGGTCACTTTTTGATATTTTCAAGAGACCATTAGTAACTCAGTAGTCAGCTTATCAGAAAAATGGTGTTTTATATTTCAAAATACATTTGCAGGAATTTACAAGATTATAGTGAGCTATTAGAGATCTCATAAAAATACAAAATTACACACAAAATTACCTTTCAGTAATGCTAAAGTGTTAAGACTTTCCCATGTCAAGCAGCTTCCTTGAAACTGCTCAGAACATCGGTAATGTTAGCCTACAAAATGAGAAGCTAAGAAAAGAATTAGCTTAAAGCTTTCTATGATAAGCTGAATTGACATACAGCGTACACATGGAGAACAATGCAGTTTATCTAAAGAATTATGCTACCTATTAGTTCACCAACATTTGTTAGCTTAGTATATTTACAATTAATTTTGAAGCAGCAATATTTTCCTAAGAATTGCTTAGTTAAGCATCTAATTACATGGGCATCTTTATTACTCCTGTTACAGAATTTAATTTTTTTGTATGGCAGCCATCAGCTTGAGATTTTGGCTAAATTTCACAAACACTTATTTTAAAAGAACCATGATAATAGGTATGTAATGTGAATATATTTAACATTCAGCTATTATGTTTTGCTATATTTTATAATTTTGCATATTATTTAAATCTAAGTTTTAATTAAATCTGAAATATTTTGTGATATATTATTATGAAAGATACTCTATAACATGAAGTTTATTATTTCCTTAGGGTATGTTAAGAGAGCATTGATGCAAACTGTTATATGATGTAACAAGATAAGGAGACCTGTGTCTTTGTATATTGTTTGCAGATGACTGGGATGCTGCTATTGCCAGTTTATTGCAGGTCACTCCACTGTTTTCCCACTCTCTGTGGAGTAACACAGTAAGGTGCTATCTCATTAATACAGATGAGACTCAACCTGAAGTAGACATCTTCATTAGGGTGAGAACAGCACAAAAGTTATGTTAATTAATCATTAATTTAAGGTTCTCTATTTTTCTCCTCTAATGCTTGTTCATCGAAACTCTGTGGTAGTTCTTAAAAGGTTTAGGAGTCGGATCTTGATCCCATTGAAATCAGTGGGAGTTTTGTTAAGGATTTCAATGGAAGAAAGTTTATAATGAAAAGAAATTGGGGTTTACTAATAGGTCCTTATTGATATATGTAATTAATAATAAAGGTCAGTTTATTTAAATTTCCTTTCAGAACTACTCACCAAAACTTCAAAGAATATGTGAAACAATGGGGTACTTCTTTCAAGTTGTTCATTTTCCAGTAGAAAATGGAAATCATTTCCAGGCTGTGAGAAAATGGGAAATTGAGAAAAGTTCCTTAGTCATTTTGTTCATACATTTAACTTTGCCAAGGTAAGTTAATAGTTTTGCAGATTGACAAAGCAAAGAGAAACTGATAATTTATGTACAGCACATAGCTTATTAACATGTATGCAGAGTTCCACTTATAGCATTTTTTAAGCTAGTTTCTTCTAACAAATCTTCCTTCAGACTTTAGATTTTCTAGCACAGACAGTTAAAGAGAAAGCAGCTTCTTTCTGAGGTTTCCCTGTTCCTATGGCTCTAGATTCTATTAAAATACAACATAAAAGAGCCACCATAATCTGCAAATTTCTTGCTTTCCAAGAACAGCTTTTTGCTGTTCATAGTGATAGAATCATAGAAATTAGAGATGGCATGTGTGAACATCTTCTGTGTGTTCTATTTGCTTATCTGTCTATTCACCTGCCTATATTACCTCTGTTTTATTTGGTCACATATTCTTTTTCTCTCTCTAAGTAAGTCACTTCTCAGTTAATTTCCTGGCTCTTCAGTGCAGTGTCTTGACCTTGCCTGTTGTGATGTAATTTACTATATCCATGATATTTTATAACAACTGGTAGTGCAGTGCTTTTCACTTGTACAGTAGATAATTGGTCGTCTTACTAGAAGAAAAATAATTTCCTAACCCAAAAGTATTGAATTAAGGATAATGTTACAATTCAGTTGTGATTGTTTCTATTTTGCAGCTTGGACTTTTTTTCTTTTTGGCTGTATACCATGAAGGAGGAAGAAAAGAGGGATTAGAAGTGAAAATACTAAATAATGGGCATAGAGTCGTCATTTTCAATATGTCCTTATACAGTTGGACAGCCATTTTGATAATCTCTGTCAGGATATTGTCTGACCCATAATCTTATCAGCAAGGGGCCAGGAACAGTCTAGATTTTGGCCTTTTAATGAACTATGACATTACTACATTAAGTGTCTGAATTTAGCTGCCTTTTGAGTTGAGCGAGGATTGGGGAAGAAAACTGGGAGATGAATAAATTGATTCATATGGAACTCTGTCAGCTTTGGTCAGGAACTTGGGATGAGGCTTCTCTAGCTTTTTGAGTCTGCTTAGAGAAGGAGCAACATATGGAACATCAGTCAGGAATGTGTCCCTCTCCTAAACAAAAAAAAGGTACCTACAGTGTATGTTGTTATATGCCATTGAATTGTCACACAAAGGGTTAGGTTTTGAATCCTGGCGATTTTCCTTTTGCCGTTTTGCTAGCACCCCTGTTCAGATGTGGAGGTGTCTAGCCTATAAACTAAATATCTGACTAAAAAGGGTTTTTTTGCTAATGGGCAAAAAGGCTAATTAACAACTTGCTAATTGATAATACTGCTGACTAACTAATGCTAGCACTGTGTGCAAAGAAGCAGGCTCACAGAGACACTACCGGGGTTCCATCTCGCTGGCACAGGTGGTAAAAAAGAACTGAGGGAAAATTGGGTCCGCTCTGCCCTTTTTGTCCTTGGAGAAGTGCGGGGGCAATGCAAAGATATCGAGAGCGTTTCAGGCCCTGCTGACATGGCTGGCCAAAAGAATCCAATCTTGTGTGCACGGGCCACATGTGCACCAAGAGTGGAATCCATGTGGACAATACATCTCAGAGAAGAATGAGAGCTTCCTGACAACAATATTAATTTAAATAATTTCTTGTACAAAAAGTGAGATTAAGATTATAATGCCTCATGTGGGGAAGATTGCACCTATCTGCTAGTTTGTCTCCCTTGAGGCTGGCTCTGCATGTAGCATAATAGATTCACAAGGCAGAACTTTCAGGAATAAATATAGATATTCCTTCATACAAGTACAGTGCACTGTCCAGATTCAAGATGGGAACGTAATTTGTCCATTTTGATGAGCCTTAACCCTGTAAGCTCCTGACCCTACTTCTAATGAGGACAAAGGGAGTTTTCCCTTTGACTTTAGGGAGCAGGACAGGGCATTCAAATAATTGATGATAGTGTGTCAATACATTTGACATTTGTTAATAATGACTTGTGACTCTATTCTCATGTGTATGAAAAGCTAATGCAGAATTATTACTGTTTAATCTGAGTACCAGTATGAGAGGGTTTGTAGAAAATAGACTTTTGAAAGCAATAATGTGTAAACGTGCTACTGAAAGAATATTAATATCTACAGTCCAATTAGCAACAAGAGAACTTTTTTCCATTTTCTTGGCCAGACTTTGGATATCCTCTGTTTAAATGTCTGGCTGCCTCCGTGGTAAAAGGCATGCTCTTTCAATTAGATTTTGCAGTGAAACCCATCCTTAGAGTTTATGTTGATTGAACTGTGTACTGCAACAGTGTAATATAGTTCAAAAATGCTGATTTCCAATCTAGCTGTTTGCTGGAGGACTGTGAAGAAGCTTTATTGAAAAATCCTGAAGGAAAGCCCCGGCTGATTTACCGCAGAATAGAAGATGGCAAAGTCAGTTCAGACCCTGTGCAACAGTTAACTGAGCAAGTTTGTTATGTGAATAAAGCAAAGGTACAACATGTAGAAGGTTGTTATGTTTCAGAGATTTGTTGTCCTCTTATTTTGTAGCATAAAAGTCATAACTTCAGATAGTACAAGAAATTTCATAACGCATCCTTTGTTATGACACCTTTTGTGAACAGGTGTATGGTGTTGAATTTTATGAAATTGTAGTTTTAAAAAATTGAGCACTGTGCCTGTACAGAAACTTGAACAAAGTTTTATTCTCAGCTGCACAGAGGGGTGCAACCGAGAAGAATTTGGCTATAAATTTCTTACAGAATCCTTATGGAAAAAATGCTATAAGATTTAATAGAAAAGAACTGTTCTATATTATTTTAGATAATCCTTTGGGGAAAAAACAACCCTGCCATAGAATTCTTTGGAATGATTTAAAAAAATGTATATACAAGGGGCATCCTCTGTTTAAATTCTATACTATACTATAATTCCCATAGAATACTATTACATTTTTATATGCTAAATCCCTATTACATTTTACAGGACTTTCCAATTAGAGAAATAGTCTAACCACATCATTAATGATACATTTTCCTGTAGTGTTTTTTTGTATATCATCAAAACAAAGGAACTCTGATTCAAAGTCCCCTCCTCCTCCTGCCTGTGGGTTGACTACTCAAATAAGGAAAAGGACAACAAACAAATAATCCCCTAAAGCATACAAGGCATTCCAGGCTCTGCTTGAGTACACTCTCCTGGCAGCCATCTTCCCTTAGAAGCTGACCTCTTCTTACAGGCACCTTCATTAGCAATGAAACGCAGCTGCCTTAGTAAATCATTCTCCAGATGTCCTCTCTTAGCTTCCATGAGCTGAGAGGGGAACCCTCCTGGGTCCTAGCTCATTGTGAAGCCTTCCTATCCACTGCCAAGGTATCTATGGTGAGGTGGAAGCATCTCATTTTTAAATGAAATTCTGTCTTACGGTGCCAGAGGGTAAGCCTCCAAAGTATTTTTCATTTTGAAAGGTGGCGAATGTTGTTCTGGAAAGAATATAAGCTTTGGATATATTTTATATCTACATGCCTCAGTAACTGCATCTGTGTTTAATAGTCAATCCCAGAGTTGCTTCATACTTTGTCATTAACTTTTTCAGCTCATTGATCACATGGGAGGAGTGGAAGAAGGAGCGTATGAAACTTATAATTGTGTGGAAAAGATCATTAAACAGGTAGAGTACATGATGCATGTATTCCACATGAAAGGCTACTTTGCGCATTCCTGCTTACAATTCGAATGATAGACTCTGGGGCAGTGCCATCCAGGGCTTTACAAAATTGCCATATTGCCAGTACTCTGCAAGCACTGTAGTAAATCCACAGTCTATTTAATAATCTATTTATATTCACTACAAATGCGTGATGTTTTGTCATAATTCAAAGGCCTCCATATGTTTCAGCATTTTTAATACCTGGAAGTAAGGAAAGCCACAACTGCATAAAATAGTTTAAGAACTATGCTACTGTAGGCAACCTCCATCATGGGAAAACTGAAAGCAGCTTCTTGAGATCTCAGTATAAAGTGTCACTAGGACTCATTTGGTCACATTCTCTGCTGGCCTAAATGGGCACAGATCCATTGACATGAATAGAATTCACTCATCTACCCCAGCATTGTTACCTAAAGCAGGAAGGGATATAGTGCATAAAAACTGTCCTGTCCAGTGTGTGTCAGTATGGTATGCAGCCCATACTATATGGAATACATTTCATGCCACAAATGTAAGTCCAAAATGACATGCAAGCGGTGCCCACTGCCTAGTTGAAAGAATCTGGGGCAATGATAGCATATACTTTTAAGGAATAAGTTACAATATTTCCATGTGGTTTATTTCTTACACAGGATATATTTGGCTGTGAAAGCACAGAAGTAGAAAGCAAGGATTTGGGTAATAAAGAGGAATCCACTGCACCCGAAGAGGAAGTTTTTGGAGATGTACTGTGGGATGCACATGATGAACAAGAACAGATGGAAGCTTTCCAGCAGGCTTCTAACTCAACATGTGAACTAGGATTTGAGAAAGTAAGCAGATAGAAATGTCTTTTGATTAAAGGAAATAAATGGCTCTCTGTTTCATGTGCAGCAATGATGCTGTTGTATGGAAGGACCTATGTTTGAGAACAACCTTGGGGCTTTTACACCTTAGGCTAGAGGAGACCATATGTGTTAGACAGATGATATATTTAGTTTCTGGAACAATGCCAGTTATGTCTGTCTTAAAGTTTAATTGATGAAGAAATGGTCCTTGTTTCTCCATTGAAGGAAATGTTGCCGTGATAGCATGCCATCTAGAAATAAGGGGTTCTCTTAGAAGGTGAGTAACACACCATACTTTGAAGCCTAAATGAAAGACCTCAAACAGCTTTTTGAAGCAAATGAAAGCCCTGTCTCAATACAGAGAATTAGGTCTGTTGGAATTGGATAATGAAAAGACTATTGTATAGTCCCACAATCTTAATGTATCTGAGTCTGTGTGAGAGAAAGACATAGTAAAATTAAAAATAAAGGGGTACTGAAATGCTCAGTACTTCCTGGACTGCCTCACCTGTAAACCCTTGTAAAACTAGGAGTGTCAAAAACAGAGTTCTGTTGGAGGAGAAGGTTTTTGTGTTTTGTGTATTGTATTTTGTAGTTTTATATGTGTGGAGGCTGGTAAGGGCAGTGTGCTGGGAGAGAAGCTGAGCCCTGATTAGGGGGCGGGGCTTCCCTGCTTATGGGTCCTATAAAGGTAGCTAGCCAGTCAGGCAGTGGCATAGACAGCTGCAGCGGCACAGGAGCCAGCAAACAGAGATGTAAAGAGGGGAGTTTTGGTGGGAGTTTGCAAGGGGAGTGTCTGGGGGAGACTAAGGAAGGCAGGAAGAGGAATAGACAGGCTGGTGAAGGGGGGTGTGCCAGTGTTTTGGTGCCTGCTCTGTGTGTGTGTATGTGTGTGGTTTTTTTTTTCCCCTCCTCTTTTTGTGGGTGGCAGTGGTTTGGTTTGTGTTTCCCGGACTAACAGGTTTTAGGTGGGAAGTCTATGACCGATACAGAGGCAGCAGTGGAAGACACAATGAGGATGACTGGATGTGGAAGCTGCGGCATGTACATGATCCTGGAGGGGGTATCTGAAAAGAGTTTCGTCTGCATGAAGTGCCGCCTGATAGAGCTGATGGAAGAAAGGATCCGAGGATTGGAGATGCAGGTGGAAACTCTGGTTGAGTTTAGAAGGGGGTTCGAGCAGATGATGGAGCAAAGACATGAGGAGGCTGAAGGAAAAAGCTCAGACTTGCAGATGGAAACAGGACCACAGAATTCTGAGGGGAGACTGCTCTGAGGGGTGAGGAAAGTGGACAGTGGAAGCATGTGACTAAGAGAACCAGGCAGAGGAAAAGACGGGCTAGTGAAGGAGAAATAGAGCTCAGGAACAGGTTTGCGGAGTTGGAAAATGAAGGAGGGCACAGCAGATGGTCGCTGAAGGTGAGAGGGCAAGGAAGAAGAGAAGAGCAGCTAGTCCTATAAGAAGAGGGGAAGAGTCAATGGAGATAACAACACCGAATATGAGCCCCAGGACGATACGAGATGGGCTGTGGAGGATTACAAGGGACAATAGAAATCGAGAGGACTTGCACCCAGAGGGAGCAGGGGACAGACCGGAGAATCGCACCATTACCAGGAAAAGGCAGGTCTACGTGATTGGGGACACCTTACTGAGAAGAATAGACAGGTCTGTAACTAGAGCTGATCCGGAGAACAGAAGGGTGTGCTGTCTGCCGGGTGCTAAGATAAGGTATGTGGACCTGAGGCTGAAAAGGATCCTAACGGGAGCGGGAAAGAATCCACTGATTGTCCTTCATGTGGGAACAAACGATACGGCTAGATTCTCCCTGGAACGTATCAAGGGAGACTACGCCAGGCTGGGGAAGACGCTTAAGGAAATCGAGGCTCAGGTGATCTTCAGTGGGATTCTGCCTGTTCCTAGAGAAGGGCAACAAAGGTGTGACAAGATTATGGCGCTCAACAGATGGCTCAGGCAGTGGTGCTACAAGGAGGGCTTTGGGATGTATGGCCACTGGGAAGCATTCATGGACAGAGGACGGCTCTCTTGGGATGGACTTCACCTGAGTAAGGAGGGAAATAGACTTCTAGGATGGAGGCTGGCACAACTGATGAAGAGAGCTTTAAACTAGAAATTTGGAGGAGATGGTTGGGAGATGTCCAGGTAATCTCCACGCCGGAATTTAACGTTGAAAAGGAAGAAAACAAAGTAAGAAAGGATACAGCCGTGGGTATGAGAATGGACGTAAGGAGGAAGGGTTGTGTAGATACCAGTCTAATAGGTGACACTGGTGGTAGAATGTCTGTAATTGGGTAAAGGATGTCAGTGAAGCCAAACGGCAAAAATTAAGATGTTTGTATGCTAATGCGAGGAGCCTAGGTAACAAAATGGAGGAACTAGAGCTACTGGTGCAGGAAGTGAAACCGGATATTATAGGGTTAACAGAAACATGGTGGAATAGTAGTCATGACTGGAGTACAGGTATTGAAGGCTATGTGCTGTTTAGGAAAGACAGAAATAAAGGCAAAGGTGGTGGAGTAGAATTGTATATCAATGATGAGGTAGACTGTAAAGAAATAAGAAGGGATGGAATGGAGAAGACAGAGTCTGTCTGGGCAAAAATCACATTGGGAAAGAAAGCTGCTAGAGCCTTCCCTGAGATACTGCTTGGGATGTGCTACAGACGCTGGGATCCAATTTAGATATGGATGGAGACCTCTTTAATCTTTTTAATGAAATAAACACTAATGGGAATTGTGTGATCATGGGAGACTTTAACTTCCCAGATATAGACTGGAGGACAAGTGCTAGTAATAATAATAATAGGGCTCAGATTTTCCTGGATGCAATAGCTGATGGATTCCTTCACCAAGTAGTTGAAGAACCAACAAGAGGGGATGCCATTTTAGATTTGGTTTTGGTGAGTAGTGAGGACCTCATAGAAGAAATGGTTGTAGGGGACAACCTTGGTTCGAGCGATCATGAGCTAATTCAGTTCAAACTAGATGGAGGGATAAACAAAAATAGATCTGGGACTAGGGTTTTTGATTTTAAAAGGGCTAACTTTAAAGAATTAAGGAAATTAGTTAGGGAAGTGGATTGGACTGAAGAACTTGTGGATCTAAAGGTGGACGAGGCCTGGAATTATTTCAAGTCAAAGTTGCAGAAACTATCAGAAGCCTGCATCCCAAGAAAGGGGAAAAAATTCATAGGCAGGAGTTGTAGACCAAGCTGGATGAACAAGCATCTCAGAGAGGTGATTAAGAAAAAGCAGAAAGCCTACAAGGAGTGGAAGATGGGAGGGATTAGCAAGGAAAGCTACCTTATTGAGGTCAGAACATGCAGGGATAAAGTGAGAAAGGCCAAAAGCCATGTAGAGTTGGACCTTGCAAAGGGAATTAAAACTAATAGTAAAAGGTTCTATAGCCATATAAATAAGAAGAAAACAAAGAGAGAAGAAGTGGGACCACTAAACACAGAGGATGGAGTGGAGGTTAAGGATAATCTAGGCATGGCCCAATATCTAAACAAATACTTTGCCTCAGTTTTTAATGAGGCTAATGAGGAGCTTAGGGATAATGGTAGGATGACAAATGGGAATGAGGATTTGGAGGTAGATATTACCACATCTGAGGTAGAAGCCAAACTCGAACAGCTTAATGGGACTAAATCGGGGGGCCCAGATAATCTTCATCCAAGAAAATTAAAGGAACTGGCACATGAAATTGCAAGCCCATTAGCAAGAATTTTTAATGAATCAGTAAACTCAGGGGTTGTACCGTACGACTGGAGAATTGCTAACATAGTCCCTATTTTTAAGAAGGGGGGGGAAAAGTGATCCGAGTAACTATAGGCCTGTTAGTTTGCCATCTGTAGAATGCAAGGTCTTGGAAAAAATTTTGAAGGAGAAAGTAGTTAAGGACATTGAGATCAACGGTAATTGGGACAAAATACAACATGACTTTACAAAAGGTAGATCATGCCAAACCAACCTGATCTCCTTCTTTGAGAAGGTAACAGATTTTTTAGACAAAGGAAATGCAGTGGAACTAATTTACCTCGATTTCAGTAAGGCATTTGATATGGTTCCACATGGGGAATTCTTAGCTAAATTGGAAAAGATGGGGATCAATATGAAAATTTAAAGGTGGATAAGGAACTGGTTAAAGGGGAGACTACAACGGGTCATACTGAAAGGTGAACTGTCAGGCTGGAAGGAGGTTATTAGTGGAGTTCCTCTGGGATCGGTTTTGGGACCAATCTTATTTAATCTTTTTATTACTGAGTTTGGCACAAAAAGTGGGAATGTGCTAATAAAGTTTGTGGATGACACAAAGCTGGGAGGTATTGCTAATACAGAGAAGGACCGGGATATCATACAGGAAGATCTGGATGACCTTGTAAACTGAAGTAATAGTAATAGGATGAAATTTAATATTGAAAAGTGCAAGGTCATGCATTTAGGGATTAATAACAAGAATTTTGGTTGTAAATTGGGGACACATCAGTTGGAAGTAACAGAGGAGGAGAAGGACTTTGGAGTATTGGTTGATCACAGGATGACTATGAGCCGCCAATGTGATATGGCCGTTAAAAAAGCTAATGCGGTCTTGGGATGCATCAGGCGAGGTATTTCCAGTAAAGATAAGGAGGTGTTAGTACCGTTATACAAGGCACTGGTGAGACCTCACCTGGAATATTGTGTGCAGTTCTGGTCTCCCATGTTTAAGAAGGATGAATTCAAAGTGGAACAGGTACAGAGAAGGGCTACTCGGATGATCCGAGGAATGGAAAACCTGTCTTATGAAAGGAGACTCAAAGAGCTTGGCTTGTTTAGCCTAACCAAAAGAAGGCTGAGGGGAGATATGATTGCTCTTTATAAATATATCAGAGGGATAAATATCAGGGAGGGAGAGGAATTATTCAAGCTTAATACCAATGTGGACACAAGAACAAATGGATATAAACTGGACATTAGGAAGTTTAGACTTGAAATTAGATGAAGGTTTCTAACCATTAGAGGAGTGAAGTTCTGGAACAGCCCTCCAAGGGGAGTCGTGGAGGCAAAAGACATATCTGGCTTCAAGACTAGGCTTGATAAATTTATGGAGGGGATGGTATGATGGGATAGCCTAATTTTGGCAATTAATTGATCTTTGATTATTAGCAGGTAAATATGCCCAATGGTCTGTGATGGGATGTTAGATGGGGTGGGATCTGAGTTACTACAGAGAATTCTTTCCTGGGTGCTGGCTGGTGAGTCTTGCCCACATGCTCAGGGTTTAAGTGAGCGCCATATTTGGGGTCGGGAAGGAATTTTCCTCCAGGGCAGATTGGCAGAGACCCTGGAGGTTTTTCGCCTTCCTCTGCAGTGTGGGGCACGGGTCACTTGCTGGAGGAGTCTCTGCACCTTGACGTCTTTAAACCAGTATTTGAGGACTTCAGTAACTCAGGCATAGGTTAGGGATTTGTTACAGGAGTGGATGAGTGAGATTCTGTGGCCTGCGTTGTGCAGGAGGACAGACTAGATGATTATAATGGTCCCTTCTGACCTTAAAGTCTATGAGATACACCTAGAAAGGATTGAATTAATATATCTAGAGGAATCTGTGAAAAGTGCCTCTGGTGAGGAATTATGTTGCTGCTTGAATAAGTCGGTGTGCTTTCGTGCTGTGCTTCCTAGAGGAACTGGCTGACAATGTATGCTTGTGCCTCTTGGAGATGCAGCACACACAAGCACAGCTCCGAGAAGGCAGGGCAAACGTGGCTATAAGCCATCATTTTGTCTCTGGGATTTTGGGCTGATTGGGAACCAAAATGCCCCATGCTGTAACTGCTCTAAATTACAGCAGTCCTCCCTGAACTGTCTGAACTGCTCTGCAACCTGGAGCTTCTCAAAATGGCTGTTGTACCATGCACTATGACCACACCCCCTGTTCCAGGACTCGCTAGGGGTCCTGCGTAAGTCCTGGTCTATCCACAGTTTTTGTATTTGAACTATTTCGGTTAAGGGTATGAATTTTCTACTGAAGTAGTTAAATCAATATAACCCCTAGTTATAGCAGCATAAAGGTGCCTTATACCAGCGCAGCTGTTCCTCCACCCTTTACATGAATAAGCTATACCATTCACCTATAAATGCGTTCACACTGTGGGGTTGCACCACTTTAACAACATACGGGAATAGTTAAAGTAGTATAATTTCTTTGTTAGATACAATCTAAGTGAGCCGACAGCTGTCCTATGCAGTACCTGTACCGAGGGAACCCAGGCTCAGAGACTTTTATGGCTCCTCTACACTGCCACAGCAGCACACAGGGGCTAGGCCGTAATGGAAGAGAATCTCTTCCATGAGGTTTTGGAATGCAAAAATGTAATGATAGGGATCAGATGTGAGGAGTTAGTCCTGGAAAACTGTCCATCTCCTACTGACAGATGTTGTGTCCCAGACATTATTGGCAAACCTGATACAGTCTGCTGTGCTGCCTCCAATAGCTGGAACAGAGACAAATTTGAATGCTGTTTTTCCAGTAAATTTGATTAACTTATTTTAGAAATGGAAATTAAAAAGTTAACACAGAGATAATTCCCTTTCTTAGAATTGTAAGGAATGTGCTCTGCTATTCTTCATTCATATTATTCTGTACTTCTGGCTCCATAAGAATTTGTAGCTTCTAAAAATAGCCAGTTCCGTATAATCAAGTATAACTACTTGTAGCAATAGGTGACATGGAATTTTAGAGCACTATCCTTTTGTCCTTGGCTATCTATCTTAGTTATTTATGTGCTCTCCCTCCCCCCTCATCAACATAGTATCTGAGTGCCTGTATTTATCCTCACGACACTCTGTGTGTCAGAGCTATTATCCTCATTTTAGAGATGGGTAACTGAGGCACAGAGAGGCTAAGTGACTTGCCCAAGGTCACACAGAAGTCTGTGATGCAGCAGGGAATTAAACCTAATGCACTAACCACTGGACCATCCTTCCATTCTTGGAGGTCTACATTCAAATTTGCCTTGTCACACGTTAAAATGAATTTTTGTCTCACTCTAGTCCATAATGGACATTTGCTTACCTCATAAAACCACAACACAATAATTTAGTACAGTTGGTACTACATTCTCATGAGACACATGTCTGGAACACCACTGGGATCTGGCACGCCAAGATTGCAGTACATTAGCAGAGGTGCAGGGGGAATTGCATGCCTTCTTGTACTAGGTCTTACTGTACCAGAGCAACTAGTCAGTCACATATATTAGTACTGCAAATTCATCCCAAACTAATTTTTAAAAATTATTTTCTGCTTTAAAACTTTTTATGTAAGAGGTATTAAATAGTAGTTTTTAGTGATTCTAGCACTTTCCATTCTTCCTTCCCCATTAAAAAAGCAACAACAAAACCACTTTGTTTCTGTAGCCATATATTTTGTTTTACTCTTAGTCCCCTTGACTTCAATGGAACTAAACATTCTTAAAGCTAAGTATATGCTTAAATATTTGGAGGATGCATTAATCAGTATATTAATTAATCCGTATATGTATTTCTTTAATACTGGAGCCATTGTAACTTAAATTGTTGTGTTTGCAGTATTATGAACGTCTAAATGATCTAGTGGCAGCACCAGCACCCATCCCACCTCTTCTTGTGTCTGGAGGACCAGGCTCTGGCAAATCTCTTCTCCTGTCAAAATGGTATTTTTAACAATGGTTAATCGTTTTTTAAAATTACACTTCAAACAAGAACAGCACAACATTGGATTGGTAGCAGGAGAAACCAGCATTAGAAAAATACTGAATTTCTAAAAGCACCCTGGAAAGTCTAGTTCTGTTTTTAGTAACACTTGAATAGTTGTTCCCCTCTAGGCACCAGTTACAACCCACAGGGGACAATGCCACGGAGAACCCCAAACCTCAACTCCTTCACAGGGGTCTGTACACTGTTCTGAGAATGAGGGTGGTGGTGGCTCCAAGGGAAAGTGTCACCTCCGCTAAGTCACCCTGCTGAGGTAAATGGGAGGGAGGATCCAAATCCAGAAACCTATTATAGAAATGCATCTTGCAGTCTCTTATGATCTACAATAGAACCTGCTGCCATAAAATAAACTGACAGTATTCAGATTAGTAACACTTGAATGCAGATGCCATCAGGGAATTCATTACTGTCCCCTCCCCCAAGGATCTCCTCTTTTTGATGTTTTATCTTTGTAATCTGTGAATGTAGCTAGTATCTGAAAATCCCTCTAGTCCAATGGAGATCAAAAGTGAAAATTCTGATGTAAAATATTTAATTATGGATGATTAATTGTCTGACTTATTTTATTATGTATATACCGCACATGCCAAGCTAAAATGTATAATTACATTTGATGAATCTACAATAATATTTTTTGGAAATAAGAATATATTTGCAAAAATGTGGGCTATTGGGAATGTGTGTGTGTGTTTTTTTTGTCCCATTAGGATTCAACTGCAACAGAAGCATTCACCAAACACACTAATTCTCTATCACTTTGTTGGGAGGCCCATGTCTGCCAGTTCAGAATCTGCACTAATAATTAAACGGCTTACTTTAAAGGTACTCTAGTTATTGTTTAGCACATGTAGCATTATTCAGTGTGTGTGTGTGTGTGTGTGTGTGTGTGTGAGAATCTATTTAAAGTTCTTATGGCCCTCTCTGTACCCAATCAGGGTGATACAGATGATGATTGCCCCATTTTGTTGAGTTGATCATATATCAGAAATAAATTAAAATATCCTCTCTGAGGCTTTTCATAATACGTTGTCATCAATTATGATTCTGATGAAAAATATTGATGGTTTATAAAGAAAGCCACATAAGCTTCTTTTACTATTTCCTGCCATCTGGCCAAGGAAAGAAGCAGGTGGCATCTGTTTTGTCTATGCATTGAGAAACCTGAAGCTGCATTTGCCAATTGGCACCACACTGTAGTTGGACTATTGCTCTTCTATGTTAATTTGTTTTAGAAGTACATGTCTGATATGTGTGGAATAAATGAGGGGCCTGATTCTGCCAGGATCTGAGCTCCCTTTATCTTCAAAAGAAGTCACTCAGGGCTGCACAGGACTGAGCCCTTCAGAAAGATTAAATCAGCTCTTCCCTGTGTTGTTAAAAGCCTACACATTTTTATTTATACATTTTCCACACTTCTTATTCCTCAGATGGTCCCATGGGATTTTTAACCTCACGTTGTCCATCTAAAATTAAATATATAAGAACTTCAAAAAACGTTCTCCTTTTTTCTTAATTTCTTGCTCCTTATATGCAGTGAAGGGAAAACAACTTCGTATGGACTTGTTTGAAATCAGCTCCCCAGGAGTGAATGATTTTATCTTGGGTCCACCTGTGTCTTTTTGTCCAACTCCCCTAAGTATTTCTTAAGATGCAATATTTTTATGCATGTTTATAATTTTGCAGCTCATGCAGCATTCTTGGTTAGTGTCACCTTTAACATTGGATCCAGCTAAGCTCTTGGAAGAATTTCCTCGTTGGCTGGAAAAACTTTCTGCTCGTCACCAAGGCAGCATTATCATAATTATTGACTCTATAGACCAAATACAGGTACATTTCCAACCTACTTGGCCTTTACAAATGCCAAATAAACTTGGAGTGGTATATCAGGTTAGTAGTGACAGTGAGACAGTAAAACAATACATTTACTGTAAAAGAGAAAATAAGTAGAAAATAATTTGCAATTTTACTAGATGAATTAAATTGTCATTTGATTTATCTATAAAACTTGGTATTTCTGGAATTTGCCAGAGCACGTTGCCTTTTGATCTGTCTCATTGCATTGTCTGCTGGGGGTGGATCCAAAATTGTGGACTGATTTGTTGGTCAGGTCACGTATCCAATCTGTAGGTGGTGAGAGTCTACATGATACTATGCTAACTACTTTACTTAAGCTGTCACCATGCTGGTGCATATAGAAAGGGGAGTTTGGCTCTATATAAAAAATGTGGCCCTGAACAATTTTAAGAGAATGGAGGCAATGAAGATTGTTTTCACTGGGCTGAACAGTTAATGAGATGATAGTGATTTGTGGCATTTATTTTTAATGAATTTTGAATTAATGCTCTGAAACTTGTTTTTAAGCAAGCTGAAAAACATATGAAATGGCTGATAGATCCCCTGCCAGTGAATGTAAGGGTGATTGTATCTGTGAATGTGGAAACATGTCCTCAGGCATGGAGGTATGTTGTTCTTTGGGGAGGTTTCAAAGTAGCCTGGGTTTAAATATACTTATATATATATATATATGTTGCAGAATAAAATCTGAATCTGATTTTGTACCCACTGAAGTCAGTGGGAATTTTGGATTTGGATTTTCCCCATTGAACATATCATAATGCATATTAAACATAGGCATGTGCACTTGCAGACTTCCAGTACTTCGATGTAGTCAGCTGTCTTAGGGCAAGGTTAAAAATACAAATGTGACTTTGTATTATTAAAATCCTTTAACAGCAGAAGAGTGTAGTTTCAGATTTCTGCATTGATATCTTCTTTTTTTCCCCTTCAAGTAGTTAGGTCTCTTTTCTTTCACATACTATTTTGCTGGATTTTAATGTAATTTTGTTCTCTCCCTCTAAAAGGTTGTGGCCAACTCTTCATCTTGAGCCATTGAATTCTAAAGATGTGAAATGTCTCATTAGTGCAGAATGTAGCAGTGCAGATGTTAAATTGACCAAAGAACAGGTATGTCTGTTGTAATTCTGTTGAAAGTATTTCACTCTAGAGTCTAGTATAAATATTTATAAAGATGTGGAAGAGTAAAATGAGCTGACCAAAGCTTATTTTTGTTAATGTTTCAATAGCCAGGAAAATGTGTTTTATTTAGTTAACTTATAGCCCTTGTACACAGGATTTGGTGTAAATATTTTTATCCAGAGGCTGATAGCACCAAATTCAGATGGAATCATAGGCGCCAACTTGAGCACCCACGGAAAAAAATTGGTGGGTGCTCAGCACCCACCGGCAGTTCCCCGCCCCACCCCACCCCCACTCCAGCTTACCCCACCTCTGCTTCCTCCGCGAGCGTGCTGCTGCGTCCTGCTTTTCCTCCCTCCCTCCCAGCGCTTGCACCGCGAAACAGCTGATTCTCGGGGCAGGGAGGGAAGGAACGCGGCGCGCTGGGGGAAGAGTTGGGGATGGGGCGGGGATTTGGGAAGGGATCCAATAGGGGCAGGAAGGGGCGGAGCTAGGGTGGGGACTTCAGGGATGGGGTTGGGATGGGAGCGGGGCCAGGGGCAGGGAAAGGGTGGAGTTGGGGCGGGGCCAGGGGCAGGGAAAGGGGCGGGGGGGTGCGGGCACCCACCGGCGCTGGAGAAAGTTGGTGCCTATGGATGGAATAGTATAAATTACTAGTAAAGGAACTATACTTTTACCCATCTTTCTGCAGATATGTCCTCCTGTTTTAGTATAATATGTATTTGGAGTAAAAATGCTTGGACATGTGCAAGGAAGCCATTTTGAATCCTATCCATGGAGCCTGATCCTAGCAAGGTGCTGATCATCTCCTGAGATGATCTAGCTCTATTTGATCCTTAACTTGAAAGGAAGCCGCCACTTATATATATCCCACATCATGGAAAAACACACAACGTTTTGTACACTAGTCATGATGTGCTTTTTTAACATCCACAATCGGTGTTTTAGTGTCAATCCTTAACTCCTCAGAGTGCTTAATATTACATTGGCTTATAATGTTTCTTTAAACACTTGTCTTAGGAGAAGAAACTTGAGAAACACTGTCGTTCTGCCACAACTTGCAATGCTTTGTATGTCACTCTTTTGGGCAAAATGATTGCTTGGTAAGTTGAGATGGCCTGACATTATTGTGCAAGTCTGTAGATTTTAAAAATACAAATTGCTTTATCAGCATATCAGAAAATGTTCAATTGAAAAAGAATTATTCTTTGTTGAGATGAAACTGCTTTAGCAGAAGAAAATAGAAAGTTATTTTCCCCATTTTTCTATAAAAAAAGAAAAGAAAGCAGCACTATACAGAATTAATGGTCTATCCCATTTGGATGCTAAATATTTAGGTACCCACTGAATCTGAATATAGTATATTATCCTCTCCCTATTCTGAATCGAGGTCTCTCTCCATCCTTTTGCTTCACTCTTCTTTTTGTAGCTATCAGTCCCTTTATTCCCTTTTTAAATATTAATTGGGAAGTATTCCTTTTATATTGAGAGGTGCTTTGTCTGTGGGCTGATGTGCCTGATGCTTTGCATCCTAGACTATGTCTACACTGCGCTGCAGTGTGGACTATGGGGGTGTAAACTCCAGTGTGCACCATGAGAATGCTGCTGCTAGTATGAACTAAAAGGTACCTACTGTGCATTAACGTATTTCTCTTCAAACAGGTCTATGTTAATGTGAACTAAGTACCTTTTAGTTTGCACTAGCAGTGTCCACACGGGACAGTTACAGTGGAACACTTCACACCCACATAGTCCAAGCTTCGGGGCCATGTAGATGAATCCATAAGATTTTAAGACCAGGGGAGCACCACTATGATCCTCTGGTCTGACCTCCTGCGTAATACAGGACATAAGATTTCACCCTGTAATTCCTGCAGGTGGAGAGGATTCATCCTCCCTACTGTGTCAAAGAACATAACTGAGCACAGCAACTTGTGGCTGATCCAGCACATATCTTTTTGAAAGACCATCAGTCTCACTTTAGAGACTCCAAGGGAGGACCCTTGTGATTGGTGGCTCACAATTGCTGCTTGTTCTTTATTATTTAAATATTTTATTTTTAGTTGCTTAGTTGCTGCTGGAGACGCACTTTATAAAATAAAAGTATTAATTTGGGAAGGGTTACAAGCTGGGAGGGGTTGCAAGTGATTTGGAGGATAGGACTAAAATTCAAAATGATCCGGACAAACTGGAGAAATGGTCAGAAGAAATGGGATGAAATTCAATAAGGTCAAATGCAAAGAACTCCACTTAGGAAGGAACAATCAGTTGCACACATTCAAAATGGGAAATGACTGCCTAGGAAGGAGTACTGCGGAAAGGGATCTAGGAGTCATAGTGGATCACAAGCTAACTATGAGTCAGCAGTGTAACACTGTTGCAAAAAAAGCAAACTTCATTCTGGGATGTATTAGCCAGCAGTATTGCAAGCAAGACACGAGAAGTCATTCTTCCGCTCTACTCCGTGCTTATTAGGCCTCAGCTGGAGTGTTGTGTCCAGTTCTGAGCGCTACTTTTCAGGAAAGATGTGGACAAATTGGAGAAAGTCCAGAGAAGAGCCACAAAAATGATTAAAGGTCTAGAAAACATGACCTGTGAGGGAAGATTGAAAAAATGGAGTTTGTTTAGTCTGGAGAAGAGAAGACTGAGAGGGGACATGATAACAGTTTTCAAGTACTTAAAGGTTGTTACAAGGGTGGGTGGAGAAAAATTGTTCTTAACCTCTGAGACTAGGACAAGAAACAATGGGCTTAAATTGCAGCAAGGGAAGTTTAGGTTGGACATTATGAAAAACTTCCTAACTGTCAGAGTGGTTAAGCACTGGAATAAATTGCCTAAGGAGGTTGTGGAATCTCCATCATTGGGGATTTTTAAGAGCAGGTTGGACAAACACCTGACAGGGATGGTCTAGATAATACTTAGTCCTGCCTTGAGTGCAGGCGACTGGACTAGATGACCTCTCAAGGTCCCTTCCAGTTCTATGATTCTATAAATAAAATCGCAGCATCCAGTTTTACGTTTCTGTCTCTTAATGTGATATAATCCCATTCCCATTCCGTTGCCTGCTAAAGTAAAGGTATCGCTGCTTTTTTTTTTTTTTTTTTTTTTTTTTTT